TCACGGGCTGTTGTTGCACCCGCCACAATTTTCTTATGGCAACCAAAATAAAAAACGCTGCCATGGAAGTATTTTTTTGCTGTCGTTTGATGAGTGTTAGTTTTTACACTCCTCTAACTTAAGTTTAAACCAATATATTTCATTAAAACCAAGATATTCGCTCCAATATTGCTACTGATGACTAATTAATGCAAATGATTCTAAATATCTGACCTTTTTTTGTTTCCATAGGAAATGAGCTACTTATGGACGAAATCAAGCAAACACATGAAAAGAGTAAATTGGAGATAGAGGACATCAAGTGGGAGGCGCATCAGATAAGCCAGATCAAAAGATGGCTTTCATACGAGCGTGCCCGCTCATATGGGCGGTCGTATGGATTGCCAACACAGGCATCAGATCCACCTTAACATCCTTTATAAAGGGGCTGGCGCCGAATGAGCAACAGAACATCGCAATATCATCATGTCATCGTCATCTTCATAAAAGCCATCTCCACCAACCATAGTCACTGCCATTTCTCATCTCCATAGCCACAACCTTCATCACCACCATAGTTCTCAACCATCTAGCCATACTTGTAATCGTATATCACACACGACACGTATTATCAATCAATGTTCATGATGTGTTTTGCCACGAGTTCTTCGTGTGATCTGACCTCCATGTGTGAGTACTTAGATAAGGTCATGGGTTGAGGCCAGTGCCTTGCAACCCGATGTTTTGTTGGAGGGGTCGATGGAAGTATTTTTTTAATCAATCTTCTATGGTTGTCCATGTTTTGTACTTTATTTGTTGTTGTTGATCTTGTTGTCTTACATCAACTTTAATAAAAATAAAAATAAAAAGGGATAACCCGTCCTCTTCATCATGTATGCACACGACCAAATCACCAAGTACCAAGGGTTTACATCAACACATAACCACACCGGTCAAAAAGCAAGATTACATAGCTTATCCATATAATCTACTACTGGCACGCCAGCCAAACTGGTTGAACGACCCCCCCCCCCCTAACCATTTCCATGCGGATACACCCAAAGGCCATAAGGGAAACTCCAATGCACGACCCCAACTAGTCTGGCCGCGTTCGTCTAGGGGTAAACGAATAGAAAACGTGGCCCAACACACGAGGAGCAAACGGGCCAGCATTCGTTTTCGGTACGCTTTTGACCTATTCCGGGGCCAACTTCGGGCCACATTTGCATCGACACGATCGCGCGCGGACGGGCGGGGCGTGTGCCCTTGTCCTCCCCTAGCCCACCCATATGTGGCACAGGCCGGCGCCCCTTTTCTCTTCCACTGCCCTACCTCCGCCCTGCCCCCGCCCCCTCCCGCCGCCGCCATCATCGTTGTCGCCACCCCCTGTTCCCGGCTGCGTCGACTTCCAGCAACGCTGTTCGAACCACGACCATGCCATGTCAAGCCATAGCTGTCCCACGCCCGCGTTCTGGAAAGATTTTTACCAGCGTTCGTGGTTCCTTGTTGCCGGTGCGAGAGAATCTATGGCCGCCGGCGTCGCCCGTCAACCCCAACAACTTCCAGCAGGCGCTGCATTGCCGCAAGGCGCCGACCTCCACCACCAACCCCCAACCTTGCTTTTACTGTCTATGAGGGGAGCTCGGCGTGCTCTTTTTGGCTGCGTCTCCACCACTACCGCAAGGTGTTCGACACTTTGCTCACAAGGTACAATGGATAGCGAGGATGAGTATTTCTTTCACAACTTCATTTGCTCATCGAATGATTCATCCTTAGATGATGAAGATCTTGTGGTTGCTACATTGGTCCTCCATGACCACCTTAGTAGGAAGCGGCCTCGGTTCAGGGGATCATTCTCTGGCCTTGCTCTGCCCTTGAACCACAATAAGGAGAATGGCCACATCCTTCTGTATGACGATTACTTTGAGAATTCCGCACTCTTCAAACCACATCAATTTCGTTGCCGATTCCGAATGAGGAGGCATGTGTTCGATCATATTCAGGAGGGAGTGGCAGGATATGACCTATACTTTGAGTGCAAAGAGGATGCCCTTGGCAAGCTTGGCTTCTCTTCTTACCAGAAATGCACTATGGTTATCCGCATGCTTTCATATGGAATTCCTGGTGATCTTGTGGATGAGTATGTTAATATGAGTGAGTCCACATGTCTCCTCTCAATGTATAGTTTCTACAACGCCGTGGTGGCAATGTTCGTCCCTGAGTACCTGACAGAGCCAATCGTCGCTGATACAAAGAGGTTGTTGGCGATCAATGCCGATAGGGGCTTTCCAGGCATGCTTGGCAGTATAGATTGTATGCACTGGAAGTGGAAGAATTGTCCATTTGCTTGGGAGGGGCGGTACAAGGGGTGTGTGAAAGGTGCCACTATCATACTTGAGGTGGTGGCTTCACAAGATCTATGCATATGTCATTCTTTCTTCGGCATGGCTGGTTCTCACAATGATATCAACATGCTTCAGCGTTCTCCAGTGATTACAAGGCTTATAGAAGGCCACTCCCCATAAGTCAACTTTGAGATGAATGGCCACCATTACAACAAGGGATATTACCTAGCTGATGCTATCTATCCTAAGTGGTCAACTCTTGTGAAGACCATACCCAATCCGCAAGGAGAGAAGAGACAGAGGTTTGCCCAAATGCAGGAGAGTGCTAGGAAGGATGTGGAGCGTGTGTTTAGTGTGCTTCAATCTCGATGGGGTGTCATTTGAAACCCTGCATTGACATGGAGCACTCAGAAGCTTTGGGAGGTGATGACTTCTTGTGTGAGCACGCACAACATGATCGTAGAGGATGAGCGTGGTGATAGCATCTACGATCAAGGGTTTGATTTCCGGGGTGAAAATGTTGAGCATGAGCATCCACCTCCTACAACCTTCCAACAGTTTTTCCAATTCCATCGTGAAATGCTTGATTGGTAAACTCATGTTCTGGTCCAGGATACTTGGTTGAGCACATGTGGACTCACATTGGCAACCAATAGATCTATCGGTTTAATATCTTTTCATGCAAACAGATTTCGAGTGGGTCGTAAGACTATTTGATATTGTTTTAATTTTGATTGGGTTGTAAGATTATTTTGGATGTGGAACTATTTCCTATGTTTGATTTGAACTATTTGCTATTCTTAATTTTAGTATAGATGGCATCGGGCGGACGAGATGCGGCCGAAAAACGGCCGCGCATTGGACGCACGGCCGGTGCATCCACAAATCCAAGAGGATTAGATACCATAGCCACCCCCAAATGGGTGAAAAGCGGACAAAACGAACATCCGTTTGGGATCGTGCGTAGGAGTTGCTCTAAGCCCTGTGTGTCCACATGATGCAATGATGACCACATATACATTGACGCCATAGCTCCGAAAATAAGCTACAAAAAATATGAAATAGATGATTTGTTAAATATGCACTCATTCCGGCAATTCAACATTGCCCAATGCATTATGCAAGGCACAAACTCCCACATGGATTTGCCCTTCAAAGAACGATGAATACCATCCAACGAATTACCAAAAAAAAAATGGTATAATTGTTCACGATAAGTTGAAAGTATCGTGAATTATGTGCCAAATCACTGAAGCGAATGGACATGGTAAGAATAAATGATGAATTGTTTGGTCTTGATAAGCAAGACTGCATTTTTTTCCAGTGTCGCAGAGCATTGTTTTGGGAGGAATCGCAAAACTTACATCTCGATGCATTGGTGGAAAAAATATAGCATGAAAAAAAATGCACAATGATGTTCACAATCACACGGATGACTGCCCAAAACACCTTTTTGTATCACATGTCTATGTCGATTTAGTTACAGTATATATTATCTGGTTCATTTCTCTATCCTCGTTTATTATCAAATATAAAAACCAGTTTCAGTGTTATAAACTTGTCATTTGCACAACCGCAGTCTGCTCACAGCGGGCCCACTGGCCAGGTTGCAACCTCTAACGACCCCTTGGTCCCACCCACAGATACGCGGCGGCTGTTTAGAATCCCTCGCCGTCTTGCTCTGCTCCGCTTCGTTCTCGTCTGTTGACGCGCCGCTGTCGTGCATCCGCCGACCGCCGTGACAGAGTGATTCTGGCTGGGATCCCCTTTGGGCCCTCCTCCGTACGCCGACCGGAGCTCGTGGCACGAGGCAATGGTGCCAGCCCCAGTTCGCAGTGAAGCCCCGGTTCGCCGCTGGCGGGCGCGCGGGGGAGGCTTGGCTCGTAGAAGGCGCGGCGCGGGTGGAACGGAGTCCAGAGCAATTCCGACGCGCGGGTGTGGCGGCGGTCTCCCGGCCAGCTGGTACGTCCTAGGGGGGAGGCAGGGCTCATGGCCGGCCTGGAGAACTCGCAACCGCTCGGCGCTTCCTCCCAGGTTTGGGTGAACTTTATGCTGAGTAGAATCCTGATCAGATCCATCGACAGTTGCGAAGTATCCAGATAAGTCATAATCATTTTTCTAGGCATATCAGTGTGTCCATGCCCATTCCATGATCAGATAAAACTGAAACCTACGGAATGTTCTGTTTCCTTGTCTGAAACTTGAGCCCCTGCAGATTAAACTGAACCCTACAGATATTACTTGGATGGGTACCTACTTGGAATTCATTCTGGTTACAGAAATGCGTAGGAATCTGAAGACGGTAAAACAAATCTTTTCATCCTAGTTTCGGTTTGCTACACAATAGATTTCTCACACTTGAGATTTAACACAATAGAGCCACACCAAATCTCGGATGATACAGTTTAAATAAGGGATCCTTTAAATAACGTGTGATTACACTGGAGCTAATGGGTCCTCTGCGAAAACACAGCAGACGAATTGAAAGACAACATGTGCATGATGCAAGGGATGCACTGCAGATTTGATAAACTAAACGCATAATTAAAAATTAAATTCTCGGGCATGGTACACTAAAAGGAAAATCTGAAGCTACTACAATTTTGCAAAAAGAAATAGCCAAATCAACGAAACAGCCTGCAGACCACAGCGCAAGGATTGCGCTCGTCAAATTCATCATCTGAGTGGGTTGACATCATTAAGGTCTTCTGGGTCTAAGAGTGTTTGCCCGTGCCTTATATTTCCGAGAAACCCAGCATGAGACAGCAAAGCCCAAAGGTGTGTTATGAGCTCCACCTTTCCAGCAAGCCGTGTCTTATGCTTGGCTGCTCTTGTTGATGCTGCCAAGTGGAGGAGGAAACCTGACCAGAACACTGCTAGATCCCTCCATAGGCCTACTCTGTCTGCTTCATAAGTTTCTATCAACTGCTTCCCTAGCTTTGCACCCATCTGGGTTATGGAATTACGGATGTTATCGTCCCCCTCAATACTATCTTTCATATTGGGTACCTGGTCATTGGTTGTGGAACTTCTAATTTCATCTTCTCCCATTCCCTTGGGATCTTCCTCGTCTTCCTCATAGATTACTGAACTTTCTGGGGCTTCATCCTCAATGGCTATCTCCACAAGTTTTTTGTAGACATCTTGCATTGACTGAGAGAAAGAGCAATAAGTAGCATGAAAGATTTCCTTCCGTACGGCTTTCAAGACCCTCCTAACAACAATGCCGTTGTCTGGCACCAACGCTCTGGTAAGCAGGTATGCACAGTAGTTCGATAAGCTGACAGCAGTTGAGTAATGTGGCCACACATCTTCTGGAGTTGTTGATTTATTGACCAACAGCTTATTTGGAAGCAATAAAACATTAAGTTTTTTCACTTCATCAGAGATATGTATCTCGCAGAAGCAGGTTGCGATGTGCCAGACCAGTATCCTGTGGGTGTCAGCCTCCAATTCAATTGCCCATGTTAGCTGCTGCGTAAGGTCTGCCTTTGATCCAAAGGCATTTGAGAAGTAGGTTTCCAACCTTTCTGGGTGCTTCTGCAGGCCCTTGAACGACTCAAATATCGCTGTCTTTACTTCTGACTCCAACTTGATTCCTCTGGCAGATTTCTTCCGTCTATGCGAATCAGAAACCAGTAGATTATAGTGGAAGATCCTTTGATCCCACTTGCCCCTGATGAAGCAGAACATCATTCCCATTACTGCCTCCACCGCTGGATTCCGCAAGCTCCGATGCTTGATGTACCTACAGATCATCAGGACCTTGGTCCATTGCGAGAATACATATTGATAGACCTCCAATAGCTCTTTGGCAACGATAAGGCCAAGTATGATGTGAGTGAAAATCACTCTGTGAGCGATGGTATTTTTGTCAGCTTGATCCATCCTCTCTGGTATATAACGGACAGGATATGCCAAGGACACTGTAGCCACAATCAGAAGCAGAGACATCAGCATACGCCGAACTGAAAATCCGTTGGCAAACAGAGCAGCATGCTTGCTATAGAAGAAGTCCTGGAGGAAGGACAGTTCCACAGCCGTGACGCGGAATGCCCTCTCATAGTTGTTGTTGTTCTCCTGCAGGATGTAGTCGAAGACGAGCCGTCTCGTCTTCTCTTGGCCAGCCTCGTGTATTGGGAGATTATAGAACCGACGACGCAACAGCTTGTAAAGCGCGAATGAGAGGCAGGAATCCTTCAATCTGTTGCCACTGCCTTTGGTGCTGCCCAACAACCTATTATTGCCATCATCAACATTCCATATCTTTTCTATGGTAACAAGCTTCTTGTTATGCGGATCCAACCGAATCTTGTATTGTGCTGTTGCAGTTTTGCTCTCACGTTGGGCGTCATGCAGCACAAGGTCTTCCCCCGACACCAAGTACTTGTACGACTGCATCGTGATCCCACTGTTGGAGTTATCGGCATCACCATCACCGGAGGGATCGAGTGTGTGCTCGTATCGCATGTAGTCACTAACCAGCCTCGTGTTCTCTTGGTTGATGGTCGCAGCCTTGTCGGATGAGGCAAAATATGAAATGATGCGAATGGCATTGAGGGCCCAGATGAACCAGAGAGAGATATTGAGGAGGAGGAAGGTCTGCATCCGGATGAGATTGGCTGCCCAGAAAGACGACATGAGGTCGAGCAATAGGATCTGCTTGGACCTCCGATACAGCTGCCCAGTCTTGACGCTATACTGCAGAGTTACTAGCATCACTGCCCATACCTGAAAGTAGTCGTTCACCTTCTTCGCCGAGAGCTGCATCATACCCAAGGTGTAGTGCACCATGGAGTAGTTTATCATCTCGATGACTTGGATGGTGGTCGCCATGGCCCTGTCTGCGTATCCGAAGCAATCCAGCAGAAACCTTATTACCAGCAGCAGTGTTGTCATCAACACCCAGAACTCCACGCTGGCCACACCAGTGATGCTGTCCATCTTAAACAGCCTTTTCATGGTAGGCATGATTGAAGCTGCAACTATGTCTATGGAGCCGGATGGCATATCTCCCTTTCTCTGTGTGCGTGTGTGGAGCTACAACTATGCAATGTTCAGTCCAACACCAGCTTCGAAGGACAAATAGTTTCACAGATTCACAAGACCCGACTTGAAAACTAGCAGTAGCAGCCTAGCAGGAGAAAGGTTAGCGCGTTCGAAGAAAAAACCTGGTAAACGCCACCTTAGACTGCTCCCGCCCAGTCGCAGATTCCAAGCGCTCCCACGGCAGGTGCTACGCAATTCTGCCGTACGGCTTTCCTCTTTCCTTTTGATGCACCATGCACCCATCCAAAACTGAAGTAGCTAGGTGCTTTATCTGAAAAGCTGCCCACGCGCATATGCCCAAGCCTAGGAGTATGAACCAACGACCGAGCGCCTGTTGGATTCGCTTTAATCCACGTGAAGTGCAGTAGAAAACTCAGTAGATGCAGTACAGATAAAAGTGCAGTAGACAAGCAACAATATATGATGATAAAAGTACTGTACACAACTACCAGTACACACATGCTATCAACTGCCATCGCTGTCATTCTATTGTGTTGTCCGTGTTAAAATGTGTTGCTTTCAACCGCATATACTACTATGATGTAGTTCAAATACACGATGGAATATAAATAATACGGTTGAAAACTGTTCACTCAAATCTTAAACATGTGCTTTTTTATAACGGGCAATATAGTGTTAGCACTAGTCTTGATATTTTGTATTAGCATGTTTAGTTTTGACTCTGCATGTAACTTAGATGGTCTAGGGAGTAGCTAGTCGCCGGAGCTTCAGTTGTACGCGTGAAGGAGGAGAGATGCTGGGCTGTCGTTCAATGCGACGAGCATGGCGAGATGCTGATGGTGCCGTGCGATACGGCAACGCCGTGAAATGCGGCAAGATGTGACGATGGCTGGAGCGTGACGGGCTGCTCGTTCAGGTTAGCCAAGTGAGTTGGCCAAGTCATTGTTAGTTAGAGCATGTGAGCTTGTAGCTGCATGTGTGCATGGTGCTAGAGTCATGGTCAGTGAATGCGTGAGTTTGTTTGTGGTTGACATGGGCGTGCATGTAGCTAGTCAGTTGGGGCATGAGTTAGTGCATGGGGTGTGCTGTTAGTGGTCGGTTATGGTAGTTGGTAGTGCGTGCGTGAGGTCAATGCCTAGTGTATATATACGTGTTGCATATTAAGTAATGAAAGGAGACCGTGAGGGCAGAAATATGTAGCCAATGTATTCACCATGGAGAGAGACTCTCGGCAAAGCTAGCGGCTGGTTCCCTCCTTTTGGTGTTTGTGTGTGTGGTGTGTGGTGTGTGTGGGTATATTTGGATTAGGGAGCACCTAGAACTCAGCTAGCTGAGATTTATCTATGGTCTCATTCACATGACATCATCATATATATTGGCTAGACTTTTTTCTTCTCCCCATGATTTGCACGTGTCATGTTGTTTTTTTGGGCTTGGCCTTTTGTTTCTCTGTAGCTCGTGCTAGAGCATACTACTACATACGAGTCCATACGAGAAGCACGTACATCTTAGTTCGCTGGCCTGTACAACATATTTTTAGTTTCCATAACACAGTTTTGGAGTGTTTTCTTCGCTGTCTTGGAAAAGAGTGTTTTCTTCATTGATTTTCAGTTTTTACTTAGTTCTGCAGTAATCACCAGCATGATGCCTAACATAGGATCTATCCTGGTTTTGTCCCATGCATTATTTATTTATTAAAAATCCATCAAATTGCCTTAAAAATGATGGAGTTTGCAGTTTGTCTATAGGGAATTGGTCGCTACTTCTATGCCTCGGCTGACAGTCTCCTTTTGTTGCTGGGGGTAGATTTTCATTAGCTATATGTACACACACACAAAAAAAATACTATCTAGTTGGGCTTGTCATCACATAAAAAAAGACGCATTTAGAAGACTGGCAATTGCGGCCTGACTTCAAATACTTGCAGTTGCGGCCCGATCTTGAAAACTTGCAGTTACGACTCAGCCATGAAAACTTGCAGTTGTGATCCGACTTTGAAAACTTGCAGTTGCGACTCGACTATGAAAACTTGCAGTTCCGACCCGACGTTGAAAACTTACAATTGCGACCCGACTTTGAATACTTGCAGTTGCGACGCGACCTTGAAAACTTGAAGTTATGACCCGACGTTGAAAACTTGCACTTACGACCCGACCTTGAAAACTTGCAGCTATGACCCGACCATGAAAACATGCATGTGCGACCCGACCTTGAAAACTTGCAGCTATGACCCGACCTTTAAAACTTGCAGTTGCAACCCAACTTTGAAAACTTGCAGTTGCGACCAGACCTTCAAAATGTGCAGTTACGACCTGGTACTGAAAACTTGCAATTGCGAGCCGCCCTTGAAAACTTGCAGTTGCGACCTGACTTTGAAAACTTATGGTTGTGACCAGACCTTTAAAACGTGCAGTTATGACCCGGCCTTGAAAACTTGCAATTGCGACCCAACCTTGAAAACTTGCGATTGCAACCTGAGTTTGAAAACTTATGGTTGCGACCAGATTTTGAAAACTTGCAGTTGCGACCCAACCTTGAAAACTTGCGGTTGCAACCCGAGTTTGAAAACTTATGGTTGCGACCAGATTTTGAAAACTTGCAGTTGTGACCCAGCCTTCAATACTTGCAGTTGCGACCCGACTTTGAAAACTTGGAGTTGTGACCCGACTTTGAATACTTGCAGTTGCGGCCACACCTAAAACCTTGCAGTTGCAACCACACCTAAAACCTTATAGTTGCAACCCAACTTGAAAACATTCAATTGAGATCCAACTTGAAAACTTACAGTGTTGCGATTAGATTCGGAAACTTGCATTTACAACCCCAACTTGAAAGCCTGCAGTCGCGACCACATTTGAAAAACAGTTGTCTACGATCAGTTTTTGGAAACCTCGAGGTTGCGACTCCATCTGAAAACAAACACTTGCAACCTGGCTTGATGGATTGCAATTATCACCAAATTTGAAAAACTTTGTAGTTGTGACCAGACTTAAAAACTTTGGTCACACAAATTTTTGACTGAAAAACTCAGGGAACAAGCATTTCTACCGAAAAGGAGGCATGGGTTTTGATATCATTTGAATAAAAAAAGACACAAAAAATATTAAATAAAAATGAGGAATGGACATAAAAAATAAATTGAATGATGAAAAAGTAGGAAACAAGAAATATAGAAAATGAAAAAATGGAAGAGAACAATGAAAAAAAATAGTGAAATCCCTAATAAATCAAATTTTCAATCTATGGTAACAAATGAATATTAAGCTAAAAAAAGAATACACGAAAATAGGAAAAGGGAGAAGAAAGGAATAATGTTCTACTGCATGTAGTGAAATAAAAAACAATTAATTAAGCGAGAGAAAAATGAAAAGAAAGTCGTTACAAAGAGCTGACCCCTCAAAGCTACGGTCAACAAATGACAATAACATGATTCAAAAACGAAAACAAGTGACAATAGCATGCAAGGAAGAATGCAAGAAGCTAGCAACTATTCGCATCCTTAGATCATATTATCTTTCTCTTATTCGGCTGGGTAAAAAAAAGATGAAGAAAAGCCCATATAGCCCAACTCCGTAAGCAAAATACAAAAAAGGTAGCACTCATTCACCTGGGCTACGCCCTGTACGAGACTAGAGCCGCGTCGCTCGGATTGGAAGGCCGAATCGACTACAGCGCTAAAAACAAGACTACAATCTGATGTTTGACAGATCGGAAGGTCAAAAACGTGACTGAGACCATACTTAAAACTCAGCTAGCTGAGTTTCAGCAAAACCGTTTGGATTATGGCCAAACTGCACCCTACCAAAATTTTGGTCATGACCAAAAGATTGGTCTTTGTTTGGATGGTTGCCAATTTTTTGGCATGCCAATGAACTCTAGCCAACTTTAGTTTATTTTTCTTGCCAATGTTGGTCAAATCATGGGCAACCAAAACCTCAACCAAATTTTGGTTAGCCAAGGCTTTGGTAGGGCAATCTCGGGCACAAACCAAACACACCCTGTGTGTTCATGAGAGAAGAAGAGAGATGTCGTGTATGTAGGGCAATGCGGGTTCGGAGGTCAGCTCGTGATATTGGGCCGCCGTAGAACATGCCATTCTCTTCGAGGACATCTTTCATGATGATGGACGCAATTTCCTGCTGGATCCGGTAGAAATCATTTCGAAGTCTATTATCCGGCACGGCTCCAAAGGCTTCGGCCCATCTCTTGATATGGGTATCAGATGAAGATTTCATGCAAAGCGATTGCACATCCCTTCTATACTCCATCATTAGATGGATGATGTAGAATCCATCGTTCTCACTTCTTGCCGGTTGCTGGATGCAACAGAAGTCAGTCTTGTGGCCGAAACAGAGCCCAGCCTTATTTGTTTTTTTGCATTGGATGTAGCCACCCCACATGCTGAAGCCCAACATAGTTCTGTCCAGAACATACTTTATAGAGCGTGGGAGTAACGCGGGTAAAGAACGATGAGAACGGCACGACACCCCCTGCTGCGCAAAATACACGATCAAGTTAGCCTCCATGCGTGCAAAGTAATTATTGAAATGCACGAAAGGATGTATGTGTTATAGTGCTATCCGCGGATGACTTACCGGGATGATAAGGTAGGAGAATCGTTTCTTTGTCCCTATTGCTGACCAAGAATTATTCGATGTACTGACTTGCATATTGACGGTTGGCGTCGTTGATTGACAAGAAGCCCTCATGCATGTAGTATGGGTCCGCGACTGCAAGACCGATGACTTGCTCTCTCCTGATGATGTAGTTCATGTGCAACGCATACAGGTGGACGAACGTAAAATCGAGTGTCCTCATTTGAAACATCTGGAAGATGTAATCAAATTGCAGGAAAAAGAGGTCCGCGGGGCATGTGTGGACGTACATCTTGCAACTGCTCGGCACAAGAACCATATAAAGTGGGTATCCTGGATCATCCGAGGCTAGGAGGCTTCTCTCTGTCGAAAGCACATGGTCATGGAGTCTCCTGAGATCCCCTG